GGGTGGCCTGGCCGTGGCCGGCTACAGCGTCTGGCGCGAGCGCGGCGCGACGCAGGGTGGCAGTGGGCGCGCGGCGCGGCCCGTTACGGCCAATCGCCCCATGTCCTGAGGCGCTTGAAGAAGGTGGCGGAAGCGGTGAGAAATAAACTCACTGCCCCACAATCTCAAATAAATCAATGATTTAGGTGCGATGCGGGCTGCCATTTTGGCATACCTTCCTGCACTACAGGAGTTGTGTCCGGGGCGGTTCGGCGACCCGTCGCGGGTGGCCTCTTGCTAGCAGCGTTTCCCCATGCCCAAACGTAAGCAGCCGGCCTTGCGGCCGGCTGCGTCGGTCTCCTGCCAGGGAGCTGAATAAGGATGTTGGGTTGACCTGTCTTGGCTATGGCGGTTGTTCTGAGGCGTATAGCGTCGGCGTTTATATGCCTGTGAAGTTGCCCACCGCCCTTCGCCAGCGTTGAGGCGCGCTGCGGGCCGTGGACAACCTTCAGAGACCGAGCGGGGTCTCGCGGAACCCCCGCCACCGCACGAGCGGGCCGACGTCGATATGGGCCAGGGTGATGCGCCGCGCCAGTGCCTCGCGTTCGCCCTTGCTCCGCTCGCTCCAAAGTTGTCGTGCCGCGCGTGCAATGCGCTGCGCATGCCCCTGCGATTGGTCGAACACGAACACCACGCCGGCCAGCGTCAGCGCGGAGCCGGCAACCAGCGGTTGGCCGACAGCTGAGGCGATGCGAACGCACGCTTGCAAGTCGCGCATGGGCTTGGCGGAAGCCTCAACCTCTACCCATGTGACCTTGTCGCCTCGAACCAGCAGCAGGTCGGGTAGCTTGAGGAAGCGCTTAGCCAGGGCTTCGCGAGACGCTGGCGCAACTCCTTGGGCGATGGCGTGCTCGCCGAATACCTCGAAGCCGTGTTCGGCCTTCGCGATACCGTAGGCCGTGCCGATGAGGCGGTGGATGCAGGTTGCTCCCGCGACGGAAGACAACTCCATCCCGTGATGGGCCGGGACGCCGATGAGGTCGAGCGCCGCGGCGCCACGGCGGGTCAAAACGAAACTTCGCGTTCCGATTGCATTGACGCGTGACGCAACCTCGGCGCGCTCGCTTTCGAGGCGACGCATCAGCCTTGCCGACATCTGCTCCGAGCACTTCGCTCGCGGCCAGAGCATTCGCGCCAGTTCGCTGCATCGCAGGTGGCCCCAATGCGACAGTGCCTTGAGTGCCGCGATGCGATTCGCCTCGGCCTTCGCCTTGGCACTGGGCGCCTTCGGCCGTAAGCGAGGGCTGCGGCTGGGGTTGAGAAGGCCCTGCAGAAGGTCGGTGTCATGGGCGAGGCGCATTGCGGTCTCCAGCGTTGTGGTCAGCCGTGTAGCTCCTGCCGTAGCGTCTGCCGCAGCGTCCGGCAGAGGAGACTCACCGAACAGACGCAGCGCGTCTGATCGGGGAGTCTCTGGGTGAGACACAGGCTCTTCGGCGTCTAGGGCCGCACGCCCGTTCTCCGCGCTGGACGCGCTGCGCCTCACCTACCGACTGGCTATGCCAGTCGGGCGCGCTACCCCTGTGCCATGCCGTCGGCACGTTCCAGGGGCGGCCAACCTGCGCAGCGGACGCCCGTTCGTCGTGCCGACCAACGGCCTTGGCTGGACGCCACCGGTGCCCAGGTTGGCCGCCCCTGCTCCGCAGCGTCAGCGCGGGGCAAGCCCCCAAGTCACCCCTGCGCGGTTGGCCGCGCACCGTGGGCAGGTGACATGTCCTGCGGCATGTCAGCCCCCTGGGGTGCCTTGGCTCCCCCGGCCCGCCTTGGCCTGCTGGGCAGGCGCTGCGACGGGTGACTCGGGCGCCGGCCCGAGCCACCGCCCGTCCGATGGCGGGCGGCCTGTTCCTATGGCGCTTTGGTCCGGTAGACGATGGGCGTGACCTCGCCGCAATAAAAGTGCGAGTCAGACCGCTGCTGGACTTTGGCACTCGCAGGGTAGGACACCTGCAACGCGCCCCCGTCCAGCCATTGCAGGTCGACCTCGTCATAGCCGCACTCGGCAACGAAGATGCTGCCGCCACCGCGTGAAGTGCCCACGAGGCGCTCCATGTAGACCTGCATGAACGCCGCGCCGGGCATGCTGAAGGCGACGGCTTTGCCGCGGCCATCAGGAGCCGGCACCTCGTGCTTGGGTGGCGGCTCGACCGGCTTCAGCTTGCGCGGCCGCTTGGCTTTGGGCTGGGGAGATAGCAACTGCGTCTTGAGCGCCGCCAGGACTCCGCGGCGGCGCTCCAATCCGGTGCCGGACCAGCGCGCCAGGTCGTGCCCGTTGTCGATGATTTCGATGGCCCTTTGCCTGACCTCGTCAGCGAGGCAGCCGTAGGCCCACTGGGTCGCCGCGAGAGCAAGCCAGAAAGTGGGGCCGTCGTCCATGTCGTCGATAGCACCGGCCCAGTCCTTCTTGAGGGTCGCGGTCGCAACTTCAGGCGCCAGTCCACGTCTCAGCAGGTCAAGAAAGTCACGCTTGACGTCGCTCGCGACGTCGTCACTAAAGAGCGCTGCTCCTGAAGTTCCCATGGTTGGCTGCTTCTTCCCTGTGCTTGCGGCAGGATACCTGCACCGGTGGGTTAGAACTGCTGGGCGGCCTTGCCGGCGACGAAGGGAAAATGCGGCATGGACGCCTTTGAAAAGCTGATGTCGCAGCCGCACCTTGACGGGGCGAAGCAGCAACATTACGTGCCGAGGTTCTATCTGGCTGGGTTCGCTCGCAAGAACCAACTGGCCGTTTTCGACCGACGCACTGGTGCCATCAAGCTGCGCACGCCAGAGCACACCGCGCGCATCCCCAACCTCTACACCTTCGACGACAAGCAGGACCGTCGCCGCTACGACATCGAGAAGATGTTCGGCTACTACGAGGACAAGGTGGCGCCCATCATCACGCGGGTC